TCAGGGGATCTTGCAAGCAAACACTGTCCCTGAGCTGTTGATTGAAAACCGTTCAACCAGACTGAGCAATAGAAATCTAGACTTCTGTTACAACGGGCAACACATTAGAGAAAAGCAGCAGAACTATACAGCAGAAAAAGTGCTGTGAAAATAATAATTATTGTGCTTTGAAACAAGAAAGTATTCTTAAAATACCATGTTAGAGGCTCTGTTTGCTATGGATTATTTATCTACTTAAGCAGAATGGTCATTAGCTTCTTCTGAGAACTTCAAGTAACTACTAAAGAAATGGGTTTTCCTGGTTTTCTTACCAATGCATGCAAAGTGCTTTGTAATTGAGTTGGCTTAAATCCACAGAAGTACTGAGGTGATGTGTCACGCAGACATTTTAAGTTGTTACTTACCCAAGTGCCACATAGAAGACATGAAAGAATTTTACAGAAGCCAACAAAGAAGAATGCCAAAGAAAGAAGCAAAGCATAAGCTGTGTTCTTAAAAGATACTTGACTACCAAACTCCAGTGTGGAAAGAGGTGCTGCAATCTTTCCAGCATTCTTATAGTTGAATCTAAAGCCCACTCCATCTTTTTATCAGGAAACACTGGGAGAAACAAACTCAGAAAAGTTCCTGGTTTCCTAATTTCTAAGGTGCTATAGAATTATATAGAGAAATATTACTTCAGATTCCCTCTTTGAATAAGATACAGTAAAGAAGGATTTGGAGAGACATCCTCAGCTTCCTGCCTTGGAGGACAACGAGAACAAGTGGATGCTGTGTGACTGTGCTCTTAGTGGTTTCTCACACAGAGCTCAGTGTAATGGGACTAAGATCCCCTGAGTTGTACATTCCTTTTCTTCTTTTTGTCCTGAGTTTGTTAGAGGTATATGCTGCTTGAGACAGGCTGTTCCAGTAGCTATAGATCATTATTCTCACCTGAGTGGCATCTAATGTAAAAGAGCTCTGCTGGGTAATGTTCTGAGCCATCAGGTATTTCCTTTTCTGGTATTAAATTTGTTGTGGTTTATGTTAGATTGTGCTGAGTGCAATTGTACTTATTTCACATATTGGACATCCTACTTCTAACGTGTCCTGGTGTTTTTTTTACTTTCCTTGACTACACTTGAACAGGTATCTTACTTGCTGTATTGTAAAGACAGCCAGCTCCTGATGTTAAGTGTTAATATTAACTGAGAAATGTATAACCTGTAGTAATTTGCTGCTAGTTGGAAGGGCAGTGCAAGGATCCATCAGAAATGTGGTCTGTGAATTGGATTTAGATGGCACTTGCACTCAAATGTGTGACTTATTGAAAGATAGGCACCTTGGTGCCTGTGTAAGTAGGCACTCCATTCACGTGTCCTGTAATCCCCACCTTTTGAAACCAGATAACCATAAAGAATTTAGGCCAGCTGACCACAGTCCCACCTGGAGCACAAGCCAAAGTCAACCACCTTGGAAAAAATCAGAGATCACTTCACTTGGCTGATACTGGCACCTGAAAATCACCAGAAAATGCATTCATCTTTCCAGGCCTTTGCTATGACTCTAGCTAGGTCTTAGTATATCACCTTTCTGTCTGTGAAACTGAATATACTGTAAACTATTTTTGTTTCTATAGATTTGAAATGCTCATTTAGAGGTGAGATATTACAAGTTTTCTACTTTGGCAGACATCTCTTGGAACTGATCTTCAGTGTTCCACTCTTGGGAATATAAATTAAAAAAACCTTTTTTATTTAAAGGATATCTTTTAAAAGTGCAAGTGACCTTCAGTACGGTAGAATATTAAAAGGTGGCAAATTAATGATTTCCAGGCCATCTGATACTTTCCATTATCTAGAGTGTTTTTCAAATATGTAAAATAGTATTTTTTTCCATTTCATATCAAAAGCTATTTGACAGCATTTCTTTGTCTCCATAGAATCAGAAGCAGAGAATTTTTACTACAGCTGGTTCTTGCCACTGAAAATGGCAAGCTGAGCTTTTCCAGCATGGCTCTCACAGGCTACAGAGTCTTGACTTGTGCTTCTATTTAATACATCAATGTCCATGCTATTCTTTCTGAAATCTGTAACTTCAACTGATTTTCTTCTGTCTTTGAGCCATTTCTTAATGATAGTTTATGAAATAAAAACTAATCTCCTTCCTGGAAAACAAAAATAATAGGTTAAAAGATCCCAAAATTCTGACATTGTACATGAGCTGCCCACTAGTATGCAGGCAAATAAAAGTAAGAAAACACATGGGCTTCTAGCTGGCAAGGCTAAATGTGAGTCTCAGTAACCATTGTCTCCTAGCAAATATGCACAAACATTTGAAATAGGCTCGTTCTTGGCAAGTTATGGAAGTCTATTAGTAGTTCATCTGCCACCTAAGAGGATGTTAGCTATACTTAGAAATGAGAATAGTACACATGGAAGTAGTGATCCAAAGTCACCCTGTACTCAGCACTTGTGAGGCCACACCTCAAATACTGTGTTCATTTTTGGGCCCTTCACTACAAAAAGGACATTGAGGTACTGGAATGTGTTCAGACAAGAGCAACAAAGTTGGTCAAGAGTCTGGAGTACAAGTCTTACGAGGAGCACCTGACAGAACTGGGATTGTTTAGCCTGGGGGAGACTCAAGAGGGACCTTATAGCTCTCTACAACTACCTGAAAGTAGCTTGTAGCAAGGTGGGGGTTGGTCTCTTCTTCCATGTAACAAGTGATAGAACAAGAGCAAATGGCCTAATTTGTACCAGGGGAGGTTTAGATTGTATATTAGGTATTTTTTTTTTTCACAGAAATGGTTATCAGGCAACCCTTTCCTGACACTGGAACAGGCTGCCCAGGGAAGTGGTGGAGTCACCATCTCTGGAGGTATTTAAAAGACATGTAGATATGGTGCTTAGGGACACGGTTCAGTGGTGGACTTGGCAGTGTGCTACCTTAATGGTTGGACTTGATGATCTTAAAGGTTTTTTTCAACCAAAATGATTCCATGATTCTGTGACTACAGACTCCTTTAAAAAGAATATGCCTATTAAGAATAATTATTTGGTATTTATCCTTTCTTTCTATCATCAGTTTTCCCACAGTTTGATCTTACTTCATGCAGAAAGTATTCTGTGCTTTTTGAGGAATAAATCCTACCCCAGTACACAGAAGTGAAATGACAACAAAACCTCTTGTCATGGACTTTGCAAGGAACTGTCATTGCAACTTAGATGCCTTACAATTATTTGCCCTGCTCATTGTACCAGAACCACATGCACAGCTTGAGCCTCTCCTCAAACGTGAGAGCTCTGATCATTTACACCAGTGTATTTTTCTTCTGCAGAGAGTCTTAAGTTTTGGCTCTTGTGTCTCAGATAAGAATAATGGTAAGTTAGTGTAAATGACACATACATCTTTTGCTGCTGACTGTATTAATAATGCAGAGAAGACTGTATTGCCTTAGCTGCTTATTAGATGGTCTGATCGTGACTCATTCTGTTAAAAATGCCACTAGAGGTGAAGAAAAACAGTAAATAATTTTTGAAAGAGTTACTGATACTTGGGGAAATGTTCTCATATCCTTTCTAGTTATTCTGAAGTTGAGTGTTGCCATGGCTTCTGCTGGGGTTTTCTAAGATACTCAGATGCTACTTTTGAAAAACTATTTCAATTATTAGAGTTTAAAAGAAGATTCTGCCACAAATAAGGTCTTCAAAGGCCCCTTTTGTCTTTGAGTTCTGAAGAGATTAGGGGAAAAGTTAAGTAGCTGCCCCCAGGACATATTTGGAGAAGAAGCTGAACCGTCTGTTTGTTCTCTGCCCTCTTTTTTCCTAATATAAAAGCCTTTACCGGGGCCAGAATTTGTTTCTTCTGACTGGTCCAACAATTCAAGGATAAGGACACATTTTTTTTATTGCTTCCTTGTAAGTGGAAAAAGCCCAAAATTCTGTGTTTCAACATTGGTATCAAATGGGGAATATGTTATGTGAGATCCCTCACTGCTATTGCTTCCTTCAGATTGCTCTTTCTTCTGTACTTATAGAGGAGTTCAGAGCATCCAGAGGAGTGGAAAGAGGAAAGAAGGAAAAAGTTTCAGCTCTGAGCCTCATTCACTGACCTGTCAGTTACCTAAATATCATATCCTGTAACTTAATCTTTTCCATTAATTATTGGCCATCCCAAGAACAGTAATTAGTGTGACATGAGATATGTTAATAGTGTATCTTCTGGGGTTTGAATGAAACTAAGCTGTACAGTGCAATTGTTGCAGACATTTCAGGGAAAGCATAGAAGGTATTTAATGAAAGATTAAAGTTCTGCAACACTCTCCAGGGAGTGAGGTGAAAATTGTGGGCATCAAATAGACTTTGTCTTCTGCTGGGGTATTGTTATGATCAAATTCACAGTCTATGTTTTAATCTTTAAAACATGCTATGGGTAATGTTGGTGACCATTAAGAACACCTACAGGGAGCATTAAGATGGGGTAAGTGATGGCCTGCTGCCAGTTGCTTAGCAACAAATGCCCTGCTGTGGAAATAAACAAATTCTTAATAGAGTGAATCAAATGAAGACCAAACTCACAGTCAGTGCATCTGCAGAAAGACTAGCATATGAATACCTAATCATACTGTGCCGCCTAAATATATCATACTGTAAATAAAATGGCTGGTTTGTTTAAAGTTACAGTTACAGGTGCCAATTCTCAGTCTTTTGATTCTCAAAAATGTGCCTAAAATAACCACGTTTTACTCCACAGTTGAAGTTAGCTAAGAACAGATGCATAGGCAGTAACAGTAGATCAGTTGCTCAGTCAAAATTAACTAATTCAATAGCCTTAACTTGCAATTTTGCATCTCAGTTCTCAGACAGAAAGGTCCCAATACTATGTCCTAAGTTTATGAAAACCTTAATATTTATTTCCTAGGATAATAATATAAAGCAGATATTAAACTTTGAAACTTACATAGGTTTCATAGAAAAAAAATAATGAAATCCTAAATAAAGCTGGAAAGGTTTTAGCAGCAAAAAATATCCTCTGTGCAACCTGTGTCATAAAGAATGACAAGGATCACAGAGAGAATAAAAAAAGATCACTTATATCTATATGCAAATAATTAATAAGAAACACTGAAGAAGTTAGTCTCTCTATTAAATCTGCAGTCTCTGAAAAACTTAGGTCACAATCTGTCTGCATTTATTTTTCCCATTGTGTTTGTCCATCCTGCTGTTCCCCATTTCCACTTTCGGCACAAAATCAACTATACCAATATTCCTGGAGAAACTCCTTAGAGGGTGTCGGGAGCCGGTACCAGAGGGCTACCGGCTGTCAGGATGTTTTCGCGACTTCCCCCCCAGTGAGGGGAGGTTTATTAAAAAGCCCGAGCGTCCACCTCTCCCAGAGGAACGGCCGCTGAGGGTTTTTTTCTAAGAGGGTAGATTAAATTACCCTCCCACCACGCTCACAAATTATTACTGAGACCAATGTTTAGTTTGCAATTAATCAATTTATTAAGGGACAATACAAACTAAGGGATCAAGGTTCAGGAGAGGTTAACTAGGTATGTATATTGGAAAAGGGATTCAAAGGCACTAAGGTTTATGAAGACACACTCCGAAGGAGAGGTATAAATCAATGGAGTGAAAGGGTAGGAGTTGAGCCCAGTAAATAAAGTTAAAGAGTGTGTGTATGTGTGTTTGTACAGGCAGGCTTCTCCGGTCCGGTTCAGTCCAGGCTGGGCAGGCAGGGTCCCCAGGAGTGGGCACAGGCGGCGCCCACACCTCTCTGCTTCTCCTCGCAGCGGAGTGGGACTCAGACAGCTTCAGGTGCTGCAGCGGGGTCTTGTCCCAGGCAGGAAACAGAGCGGATTCTGCTCTCTTTTTATGGACCAGAGACCACTGTTTGAGAAAGTACTGTCTGAATTAGCCAATCACCATGGGCCAGGTACATATTCTGTTAGGAGCAGTTTTTAATCTATTGTTTATATTTCTGCAACCCTTGTGCTGCTTCTTTGCTCTGCACTTATCTGGTAGGGCAAGAGGCCTGTTCATTCTGTCCTTGAGTGAATCAGTGAAAAGGCGTCACTCTCACTTTGCTGACTTGAAAGGCATTTGTTGTTTAGTCTTATGTGGGGGGAAAAAAGGAAAAAAAAATAAAAATAGATCATTCCCCACAGAGGGTCAGAGGTAAATTACTGACAACTTCATAGTCTGTCCCTCATTTGACAACTTAATCTTTCTTTTTCTCCTTTAGAGTTCAGCACAGGGTCAAAAAGAAATGTTCCAGTAAGTTGGTGCTTAAAATACTGTTGTACCATGAAGCCATCTAGCTTGACATGGAACACCAGCAGTAGTTTGCATTGTCCTTGTGTCTGTTAGATGGTTTCAAAGAATTCCCAATGAATTATATTATCCAATTCTTGCAGTGAAGGAACTGCTTGGTAGTCTTACTCAAATACAGTATTTTAACTAATTCAGCTGTGTTTTTTCACTTCTCATTTATATTTGGAGTCCAATTAATTTTCAGTCTTTATGAAATTTTACAAAATCTTATTTAGTCATCCTTTTTGATAAAAAGGTTTCCTCAAACTAGTTTAGACATCTCAGTCAGATACTTTTTCCATGTTTTCCACATTGTCAGTGTTGAGGGTGTTCTACTATGTCAAAGTGCATTGTAAAGTAATTTCCTGTATTAGTGTGATAGTAAGCTAGGAAAGTCTTTCCATATCTCATTGGTTTGGTTTTTTAAACATGCTTTTTTATTGTTCCATTACTTTCCCAAAGCAGTCTGAAAAAAGCAAAGCCCCCCAGTACCAGCTTGCAACATCATCATTCCAGAGAATACATCTTCCCTCCCGTTATAGTGGTAGAAGCTATATTTCTTATTTGCACAGCAGAAGGCACAGATGGTATTGACTTTTCACAGCTGTCTTCCAATAAGAGTGGATGAATGTAGTTATTGTCTAGACAGTGAGAAATCTTTATTTTTACCCATGTCTATGTCCTTGCTAGAACTACAGTATGGAATCAGAGAAAAATGTTGATTGAAAGGTGCCTCTGGAGACCCATGTAGTTCAACTCTGGCTCAGAGCAGGGCCAGCATAGATCAGCTTGCTTGGGTCCTTGTCTGTCTCAGTTTAAAGTACATCAAAGCAGTCTAGTTCCCCCAGATCCTCCTTCTTGCCATTTGCAAACATGAGTGTGATTGCCTTTTCCCAGTCATCAGAAAATTTGCCTGATTGCGATGGTATTTTGAATATGATTGATAGAAGCCTTGGAGTGGCTCCAGTCAGCTCTCTTGGTACCTTTGGTCACATTCAACTAGTCCCATGAACTTGTGTGTGTCCAGTTGGCTTAAGTGCCTCCTAGCTGCCCTCCTCAACTGAAGATAATGTTTCATTTCCACAGACTCTGCTAGATTTGTAGACTGAGAAGTCTGAGAGCCAAATTTGCCAAGATAATCCAAGACATAAAAGGGCATTAAGTACCTTGGCCTTTTCTATGTCCTTTGTCACTAGGTTCCCTGCCCTGCTAAGCAGTGGACTTGTGCTTTCCTTAGTCTTCTTTTCGCTGCCAGTGTTCTTTAAAAAAACTTCACTCCTTGACCTTAATGTCCTTTGATTATTTTGACCCCAGCTGAACTTCTGCTTTTGTGATTTTATTGCACTACACTTGAGCAGTGTCTCTGTTCCCCCAAGTGACTTGCCACTGCTTCCACCTCTGAGAGACAAGAGCTTAATAGAATTTCAGGTGTCACTTGCTACACACCCTTTTCCCCTAGACTACAAAGTTATGTAGTCTGTGTTTGTCTTTTGAATGTAATCATAATTAGTGTTGCACGTACATAGGAATAATAACTGTTGTGTACACAAACTAAAAAAGATCATAGGTGAATTATGACACTGTGACCATTTTATCTGAAATGTCAAATGCTTTGTGGAATTTGAGTGATACTGTAAATCATAATCTGGGTTGATTTTTTTCTGTGGAGCCAGAAAAATCTCAAGAGGAGGCTATAATTCTGAAATTTAAAATGTCAGTATAGTTTTATATAATATCACAAATTATATGTCACAATAAATATCCACGTGGTAAAGTATGTAAGAAAAGGCCAAGACTTAAAAAACCCCTGTTCTCAAACATAAAAAACAGGAAGCTTTCAATTTCAAACCTCCTGCAGATGTTAGCTTTGAAAGAAATTCAGCTTTTATTTTTAAAATAAGTATTTCTTGGCACCATTTCATAAAAATAGCCCTCTAGCTGTAGCCCAAAACACTTCTATCTTCCTGATGTCCTGGGTGTATTTGTGGGAATTCTGCTGTTTCTCATTAAAAAAACCCAACCAACCAATCAAACAAAAAACCAAAAAACAAACCAGTGTGTGGTATGAGAAAAGGGAAAATTACAGTATCTTTAGCTTTTTATAGCTGTTGTACATAATGAAATAGAATTACCATGTAAGTAATTGTTAAGGCTCCAGTAAGTAAAAAAGTCTGTCTAATATTATATTTCTGAAGAAGCCTGCTGAATATCAAAGAGGAAATTTTGACCTTAGTCTTTTTTTTCCAGCTAGTTGAAGTCTACATGTTTTTTCTGCAGTAAGCTTCATTTAAACCTTTTTGCTCAGTTTTCAGTGCCAGATTGCATCTCAGGTCCCTGTAGCTTCTTCCCTTTGTTATTTTGAGAGGAAAACATTTACAGTTTGTTGCCATAAACATAAACAGTTTTTTTTATTGGTTTGGGAGAATATAAAGTATATCTAACCAGCACATACTTTGTCAGCTTCTAGGTTTGTTAGTTAACGGGAAAGGAACTGCTACATTCTCCTTCCGGCTAATTCAGTTTTTTAGCCCTTCATGTGCGCTGGAAGAATGTGCACAAGTACCAGTAGTGCTAGTTGGTAGATATGTACACTTCGTGTATTAGCCTTGGTGAAAATCCCTGCAGTCTCAGCAAACTTTTTACAAGACTTACAAATTCCAAAAAGAGGGAAGTGAGAATACTGGTAGAACAAGAAGTCCTGAGAATGAAACTAACTGGAGACAGAATTGGCTGGTCTAGCAGATCACAGATGCCTAGAAGTGGAGAGTCCCATTCCTCAATGTGTATTTTATCTGTGTCAAGCTTCTTTTGGTTGGTTAAAGAAAATAAACCAGGGGAAATAAAAAGAAAGAAAAAAAGAAAAGAAAAAAAAAAAAAAAGGGAAAGCCTTGGATTGGAAAGATGAGTTGAATTGCATTGTGAATGGTGGGACAGGCACAGGAGAGGAAGCAGAGCCATGTTGCATGAAATGGGAAAAGGAAGAGGGAGGAAGCTGTGCCCTAGGGCTCTGCTTTTGTGCTTCTGTTGTCACATTTATTCAGCAGAATTCCTCATAAAAATGGATTTAAATATTTTGTTACATCATATCTAATAATGCCATTTAGCACTTCTTCAGGCTTGCTTATCTCAGTGACAAAAAGTTATTGTAGTTACTAACATGAAAATTTTTGTTATGGTACATTAGGAAAATAATATTTTCTGAGATAAAAATCTTTCTGCTACCCTTGCCTAACATATTGTTCATTTTTATTCATGCTGCTGTTTCCCAGGGCAATTTTGTCTTCCCATGGAGGTGCTTTCAATGAGAAGTGGAAATTTCCCATTTGGCCAGAATGGAATGAAGCAGATATCAATGCAGAAAAATGGGATGCTGGAAAAGCTGGAAAAGAGAGAGAAAAAATGGGAAAAAGTCCTATTCCAGTAAGTTGTGTGACACAACTATATCATATCCACCTAATTTTTATGCTTGCATTTAATATTTTATACATCTCCAAAATAATTTGTTACTGATAAATACATTAATTTTCAATCTTGTTTCTTCAAAAAGTTTCAGTAGTTCCCTACTAAACTAGACGAATAAACTAAAAGTATTCTGCATTTTTTATGTATTACTTCTCTAAATTAACTGTTAACATATGTGTGCATTAATCTGTGCACATTAATGGTTAAAACACCTGCAACCCCTAAATCTCTTTCATTACATAATTTGAACTGATGATGTGGGAACAAGCTGAACTGTCAGTGCAGTCCCTTTGAGCACTGCAGTTTCTCTGGACTCAGAAGATTAAATGCATCCATGTTTATTATGGCGAAAAGGGCAGGTCCTTTGTTTTGCACACCTCAGTTTCTTGACATGAGAAAACACTATCTGAAGTTCTAGTGAGTAGAAGGTGGTTTGAGGGGAGATAGTTATTTTGCAGAAACTAAGCACCTACCAAATGCAGTCTTTCCAACTTTGGAATAACCTTTAATCTCATCTAGATTTTTACTCCCTCAAACTGATTAGCCTTAAAAAATATATGTGCATTTTATGCAGACTAGTAGTAGAATAATTTTTTAAAGACCTTCTTAAACTTAGCATTTTTAAGTGATATTTGAAATCCATTCAATATCATGCCTAATAATTTATTTTATATGTACATTCTATGTTGTCCATATGTTTGTTCTGTAGGTATTCTGTGTGCTATGTGTCTGTTAGCCTATGTGTTTGTAGATTTTCTTTTTCTTGTCCCAAGCTTAAATATATTGTAGCCTTATGGGGCCCAAGTAATCTTTTGAGAGAAGTTATAGTTTCTATGCTGAATGCTGCTGCTAAATTGACAGGTACTACACAGTTCCTTTGTGTCTTTCTCATTATCACATTTAGTGACTTCGGGCTATACTCTTAAGCATTTATACAGCTCTATTTCATTACATCTGCCAGACATTATTATAATAGATAAAATTTTAAAATAATTGTAATTGAAAATCTTTCTTCTTTTCAGCGTAAGAGGCATTCTGGGGTATTAACATGACCATTCAGTTCTTCAGCCACAGGCTGTATGAAAAATTGCCCTTTTTACATGTTTAAAGGAGTTGTTAAAGATATCTGTCAGAGCAGACAAAATTACAGATCTAAAGAGCTTTCTTACATGACCCATTTTGATCCAAGCATCTAGCCAGGATTCAACATTACACAAGGTTTTCCAGTTAAAATTAGTGATGGCCTCCAGTACCTTTGAGTACACTTAGAACAAGAATATAATCAATTCTTGTTTCTTTCATAGGAAAAGAAATCAATCACAAGTTATTTCTTTCCTTGTAACACTTAAAGCTCTTTTGCCAAGCATCCTACACAATAGTCTCTCTTAGAGCAGCTCAGGTTGCTGCTGAGATTGTGCATTTGACCTTGCCTGTGTCTTGTGCCTTTCCTGTAGAACTTGTGGTTGAGGCTCCTGTCCTTACAGCATGAACACCTTAGACCTGGCATTTGTCTCATAGCCACCTTTAATAAAAGATAAGTTAAACAAATTTTTGTCAGCCAAGTTTAGCTCAACCTACAATGTCCTTCAAAGGATCTTTGCGCTTGGAAGCTAAAGTTGTATCTCTCCATTTCTTCTAGTGTTGCACTGTGTAGTGTTATGTCATTCTCACCTGCCTCTTTTTTTTCTGGTTTATCTAGTATTTAAGTGCTAAAGTTTCCTGTTACACCATGTAGTTAGGATTGGATGTCTCTGAAATTAGCATGTAAGCTCTGTTAATACAGTTCTGTATGGGGCAGGCTACAAGGCTTCCTCTAACCTTCAGAAAAATAAATATTTCTAAAGAGTTCCTTTTTTCCTCCAAGCTTATTGTCCTTCCTTCCTTTAGATACTTTAAATAGTTTGTTGCAGATTGATGTGTTGAAAAAACTTACAAAATTAATCAAGCAAGAAAAAAATTGTGGGGAAAATCCTATTTTTGAGTTGTTGGTTTGAGTTTGGGTTTGTTTTTATGCCTTTGTAATGTATTTTCTTTTGCCTCCCTTTAATCAGTAAGTATTCAAAGCATTGTAGTTTTTCCTTCCCAGAAATTCTTTCTCTTGGTTGTCTGTAGAAGTTAAATAGTGTACACCATGTTCTTTGAATACACAGAAATGTATAATATGCCTAAAAGCTATTTAGAATTCCAGGCACTAACCATGTAACCAATTAGTTTCTCAGTCATCATGAGCAGTATCAGAGGCATCTTCTCCTTCTACATTGTTCTATTAAGTAAACAGCTATCGTATGTCCTGATACCTTCTGTTCACATGAAGCATAAGTATCACTTTGGAAATAGAAGTTTGAAAATTATATAAGACTCCCTAATTCATGGTGCTTTATGATTATTGCTCTCTTTGATTTATGCAGCAGTTTTTGAGGCATGGAACCTGTTTTGTTTGTGTGTAAATATCAATTTAAATACATATTGTCAGTCTTCAGTTTAAAAACCTTTAGAAATAATTTAGCTAGAAGAAATACTTAGAAACAACTTCATAGAAGAGTGACTGAATTAAAAGCTTACACTGTTTTTTGGGAAGGTTTTCTGAATGGTGGAAAAGAAAGCAAGTATTTCACATAGACCTGTTGAGGCAGTGCAGACCACATAATATCCTCTGAACAACATTAGTGGCTTTTGTGCTTGATCTTCGGTTTGGGCTTTGCACTCTTTTAGTTTAGAGTTATAGATACTATTTGTTCCATTGTATAATATTTTTTCCTGTAAGTGAACAATAACTTATTTTAAGATCACAGAATCACAGAATTGTCATGGTTGGAAAAGACATATAAGATCACTGAGTCCAGCTGTCCGCTCAGGGAAGGGAAAAAATAAACAAAAGGAAAAACCACAACTACACCCCACAACATTAACATTAATTCAAATGTTTAAAAATAAATATTTAATTAAAATGTTCAAAAATAAAAACATGTTCAGTTTTTGTTCGTGCGTATTTTGTGTAGCCTGCCTTTGATGATCCTGAAGGGAAAATAGAAATGCCAGCGTCCTTAAAAGTGCATTCATGGAAACGTCCACATGAGTTTTTAACAGATAAGGTAAGAAGCAAGCAAGTTCATAATGAAAAAAAGCTACTTGCCTAGGTATGTCAAAAGTAGAGGAAATTTAGTGCGGTTAACCTGTACTGAACATATGGTTTATCCTTCAGGCGTTCGTGGGGCTGGACATGATCCCTGGCCACTGGGTAACTCCATGAGCACATTTAATGGAGGAACCTGCAGGCAGCTCTGCATTTCTACTGGGAATTGCACCCCCTGTGTCTCCTTGCCTTAATCTAAGGGCAGTAGGAAGTTCTTATGTGAACACCCTTTCTGTTTTACAGTAGAAATGAAGAGGGTTGTTTTATTGTAAGAAAATCCTATAATGGCTCGAATCCTATTCTAACTCAATAATAGCACGATGGGGCAACCCACTCAATGGATGGGGTCTGCACAGAATGCTGTGCTGTGCATGGATCAGAAACCTGTTCAATGCTTCACAACTTGGAGTTTCCAGTGTCTAAAAGGATGTGAGATTATCTATATTAATCCATTTCTTTATATTTAGGTATAATAATAGCATTTTAATAGTTCTTACACTGTAGAGTATGAGTCTGACTCCCTTTCTTACTGGAATCACCATGGATAAGCACCTTCTTGTGCATAAAGCATCATAGTAGTGTATCTTCCCAAGTCTGCTCTGCTTCTTGACTCCACATTCATTTAGAAGACAACTGGATGGAGAGATGCCTTCCATTTTTCTTTGTGTTCTTGTTTTCTCTCTTAAAAATCAGTGTGATGGGAAAACAAGTTCTGTATGTTCCAACTAGATCTTCCATTGAGCAGGTATCTGAAGTAAATACCTATTCTGAAACCTTGAATTAGCTTTGAGAGAAATATAGTACTTTTTCTCACTTCCACTACTGTGTACAGACTGTGTCCATGTCTTTGACAGTACTTGCCTGGAAGGTAACCATAGCATTTTAGAATTATGCATAGCTCTTACTCAGTTTATTTTTAAAATTAATTGCAAAGAAAACAAACAGCCTGCCATTTCAAAGGTTAGTGTTCTTCAATGTTGTTGCTAATCTAAGTTTTAAAGCTTTTTGCTTCAGATGAAAACACTTTGACCATCCTTCCAACTTTTTCAGGCTTGTCAGTTTTCCTTTTGTCAGCTTGTCAGTTCCATTTTTTATTAACTAGACTCTAAAAAATTTCTAAGTCTAATTTTTGATGGAGGAACAGGAGGGGAAGGTCAGGGGAGTAATTGAACAGACCAAAAGATTGGATGAGAAACGCTGCCAAAATGCATAAACTGAGTAGAAGTGTCTGAAAGATGAGGGCAAGAGAGCTGGCAGCCCAGAAAGCCATGGAAACATGTATCTGTATTAAAAATAGCTATTAAAATCTATCTTTAGAGCACTGTGAGGAAAGAAATTGTTTTTTTCAAGGTCTGATTGCAACTTTCATGCTTGTTTTTGTCCAATGCATTTTGAATCAAGAAGCTAGATTACTAGAAATTTTATAAGTTGTTAAAAATTAATGTAAATGTCAAGTGAGAAAAGGCTATTAAGATGATATATGTTGCTACCTAATCTACTAGTAACTAAAAAGAAAGTGTAAACAAAAGTTATTTAGTGTGGTAAGCAAAGAATCAAGCAGTGATCACCAATAAGTGAAGAGAGTCACAGATACATTTAGTTCAATAGACTACAACCCTAGTCCTCAAAACTATGTAGTACAGTCAAAGGTCTGATAAAGTCAGTGTTCATACTGGCACTGCCACTGTCTGACTGACCATGAGGAAACAAATTCTTTGTAAGTTGGTGGGGCACCAAGGAAATGTCAAACTGTGAGACAGTGTTATGATCATTATTTAAAGGATTAACTGCAAATATTATTAATAAATTGGGGGAATATCAATTTACTTATGTAATAATTCCATTTGATGATCTTTAAAACTCCTGATAAAAAGAATGATTTTTAAAAATTCTGAACAGCTACATTTTAAAAAATTTTTATTAAGAAGGACCTAAGCAGCTACAAGATTTGCAAACTACAAGATAGCAAACTCATGGCCTTTAGTTTGCGGATGTCTAATGAATGTTTGTCAAAGGTCTAACATTTGTGTCACTGCTGTGAAACATTAGTGTTAAATGGAATTAACTAATTTACTTTCTCCTAGGTTCCTGTAGTTGTCCACAATGAAACCTCATTTGATGTTTTTTCAGCCAATGATCATATACTTTGTAGTGAGGTAGGCAGAAATATGTTAATGTCCTTTAAAAAATATTTCCTTTAATTCTTTTTAACTCCTTCTAGCTTTTTGGGTTTCAATCTAAATTTCTGTCTTGAAGAAATAAGTTGTTACAATTTTTTTAAGTGAAAAAAGGAAGATGGGAATAAAATGACAAAAGAAATAATCTAGATTTGTATAGTTACTGTTTACCTTTTTCACAATTCAAAAAATTAAGTCAATAATGGTCAGAAATTTTTCAAAATTTTTCCATGAACTATGAAGATTACTGGATAATATTCTCAAAACATAAGAGCAAATAAAAGCTCTATTAGAAAGGTTTTTATATTTTTTAATTCAAACTTTCCTGAAGTCATGTTCTTAGTTTGGTTGCTAGGTTGTGCAAGTGTCTGCCATCCAGCCAGTGTTTTCATTCTCTCTTGGGTTAATTAAATATTTACTGAATTTCTACAGATCAGGGAAAAATATAAAACAGGTAGAATCAAGGCATCTTAGTGCCTTACTGAATTTAATATTACTTCATAATTTCTAATTAATTTGGTGCTTCAATAAATACAAAATTCAACACCAGAGAAACTGTATGGGAGGATGCCACCATAAAAGGTATTACGTAAATTGTGCTGTTCACAAAGCAGTAATTAATCTTAGGGCAGGTTTTTTATAGTAAAAGCTTATTTTCAGTCTTGTTTATATAAATCACTGTAGCAGTCTGCTAATACTTCTGGAACTATAGCACACATCAGAAATCTGCATGTTGGAAAAACACATGCACTAAAGCATGCTTAGTTAAAGCTGCTATTTTAGAATTTATTAAATACTTTCAATGTTTCAGGATTGTTTTTTACTGAGTAAAAAAAGAAATACTAAAGCCATTACTGATTTTTAGCTACTACATTTAGCCATCAGCAAATAAATGAGTGACAGTTCATAAATCCTAGAATGTAATTTATTTTAAATTATATGTCCTAATTTTTCTTTCGTAAATGATGATCAGCACAATTTGTACTGTGCCTTTACTCAGTTTCAGGAAGTTTTGTGTTATTGTAGATAGGTATTATGATGATTTTTAGAAAAGTTTTACCAGTGAATTTATTTTTTGCATGAAAACCTAGGATATTTTTGTTTCACTTCTTCATTTAAAACACAATATTTTTAATTCTTTGATCATTATAAGTTGGTTTTGTAAATAAGTATTTTTGCTGTAAGTAAAATACATTAATTTTTTTGTATTTTTCTCTGTTTCCAGCTGATGAGATGGATTATAAGTGAAATCTGTGCAGTTTGGAGGATATATAATGAAAAGGCCTTAACTAACGCAACATCCACACTTTTTTGGAAACCATGGGAACACATTTATGCCTTATGTAAAGTTATCAAGGGACACATGCCACTGTACAACAGCTATGGAAAATACATAGTGAAACTTTATTGGATGGTGAGTACTTGCCTCCAACAATATATAGATGCTATGCAGCTAATTAGGCAAATTTTAATGGTTAGGGTAAATATTTTTTTGTTATTGCAAATATATGGATTTGTAGGCATAGGAGAGTTGACAAATTGTTAATGCATGTTAAAAAAAATGCCTTTTACCATTTATATTTTTTTTTGGTACAACTTAGAATTTGATTGTGCTTGTTTGGCTTGGTGGGTTTTTTGGTAAGAAGGGGAGGGGCCACTGAAATAACTTTTCTCATAATTTTTGACATTTTGTGTAAAACAGCAGCTTAAAGCACAATTGCAATGTATTTAACAGAAAATAATTGGTTCACTCTGTATCATATAGTGAGTGGTTAAGGTAATGTTGATTTAAGTGATTGATTTTCACAGTTTGTAATTTTTCTGAGCTGCATCTGATGCTTTACATCCTATTTTTACAGGCTTTGATTTCTAAATCATGTCTCCTCTTATACTCCAATGTAAACTGGTTTTGGCATATTTACACAAATTTGTTTCTTTCTTACACCTTTTTATTTCACTAAAGTACTTCTTGTTGATATTTTGAGGTTGTGTTCTGTTTTTTTTTTTACTGTGTCTCAAAGTGCTATGTCAATACCAAGTGTCATATATGTATTCTACATGAATGGAAATTCCTTCTACTGCTTGAATTCTCAAGTGTAGGTTGGTTATTTTCAATTTCATTTTTGCTAGAGAGAATGATATGAAGACTGATTGTGAGGTTGCACTGCACTGTAAACTGTATGATTTAAATTCTCATTCAGTAACTTTTACCCCTTTTATGTTTCACTTAGTTTCATTTTTTTTGTGTGTGCATTAATTGTTTTGAAATAATATTTAAAATATTGTTTTTTCCTGTGCAGTGAATAATGCAGTATAGAGCTTTGATGCACATGTTTGGTAGGGTTAGACAAGTGGCCCACACCTCTGGTGTATTGAGTTTAAGAATGTTTTTTATTGTTTAAGTAACTTAAGTTATCTGATTTTACAGAACTATTTGTAGCCAATTGTATTTAAAGATAGTTGAAGTCTTCCAGTGTAAGGACCATTTACTAAATATGTACTGGCAAAACCAAAACATCCCATGGAGTTTCTCAGCAGACAAAATCCTTAAAGCATTTTACACTCAACAGGGAACACTTAATTTAGTATTGAACCTCATACTAATAAACAAAGAATTATCACTGACCTAGAAGTTAGAAGTAGTTATAATATAAAAACTTCCTGTGAATAAAAATAAGCAGGGATTACATTTACTTCTACATCACCCTGTTAAATTGTTTATAAATCTGCCCATCTTTTGAAAGAAGCATAAATGCAAACACAGCCAGGGAGAGCTTTTCAATGGCTGCACTTTTACATAGTGCAGTTTGATATGTGTTTCTTGAGAGGGAATAAAAACCTGAGCATATTTATTTTAAAATAATCCTACGCCATGTACTTATATGAAGAAAAACTTAACTATTCTAATCTAGTATGGATCAAATATGATCTTTTGAAAGGAAGCTTCATGCAGTTTGCTAGTGGTACATGCCAGCTAGCCAGCACTGAGGAAGAAACAGGAGTGCATTTAAAACTGAAAGAATTTCTTTACTTTCTTGTAAGGGGAAGCACTTAGCTGATTTACATACCTGTGCTTTCCTCATCCCTTACTACTGCCCCCACATACAGAATAACTTGTATTCATATAGGGAA